GGAAGGATTTTTTTTTTTTCCTGGTTGCAGCTGGAAGGCTAAGTTAATCTACATAATAAAGTGCTTAGGAGAAGGGAAAGAGAAGAGAACAACAGTCTTTAATGCTAGGAGTGGAGAAGTTATTTTTGTCACAGATTTCCAAGAGTCTCTCAGAGCAGCTTTGCAGTATGAAAGAAATAAACAAGAGAGGAAATGGGAGTTTAATAAACGTTGCTCTGGAGGGCACACTTGGGTCTATTTTAATATCTGCTGAGAAATGTGGAGAAAAATAAAATTATCTTAAATTATCCTTGGTTATTAAAGTAGGCTTCATAAATGCATATATTCACTAGATTGATTGTGATTCACAGACTGCAAAGAAATCCACTGCACGATCTTTTTTTTTTTTAATTTCAAAATATTCAGGGGGTGCAAATGCAATGTTTCTGTGATGCTGGGGCCTTGTATAAGGCTTACGTCAGGGCTCTCAGTGTGCCTGTCACCACTGCGTAAGCTTAGAATGTTCCTTATGCTTCTTCTCAGGCCATCCCTTCCCCTCGGACTACTCCTCCCATTCTATATCCTACCCGCCTATTTATTTCAAACGCTACCTCAACTCTTCTCCCTGAGCAACAACCCCAAGGAACCCAACCTGGTATCATTATTTTCTCCTTTGAAATTTATTAACACTCAAGTTGACTGATGAGGAGATATATACATACATACATACATACATACAGACAGACAGACATTCTGTAACAGTTGAACCCTTCATCCCTCATAGCGCCCATGGCAGTGCCAGTGGTGTGAACCGGGCTGCTGCTCAGCTCTCCCACCCCAGGACAAGGGCTCAGCTTTCGGGTCTGCTTGGTCGTCTCTGGCAACTGCGTCCAGATTCAAAAGGACGGGTGCTGTTGGCCCCTCATCCGTTAGTAAATGTTTGTCTTTTTAGAAAATCTTTTAAAAACGGGGTTTTGGTTAGACTTGGGGGGAAGGTTTAATTTGGGCATTCAAGTTACTCTAGCCAGAAAACATATTATTATATACAAATTTTAAAAAGAGGGCTGGTTTGTGCTTAACCTTAAGATGAGGCAACAGGGTAAGTATTTAAATAGATTTTAAAAGATTCAGATAGCCCCAGGGTGATAACTTCATGATCAATTAAGACCTCAGTTTCTTTCTTTCTTTTTTTTTTTTTTGAGACAGAGTCTCACTCTGTTGCCCGGGCTAGAGTGCTGTGGCATCAGCCTAGCTCACAGCAACCTCAAACTCCTGGGCTCAAGTGGTCCTCCTGCCTCAGCCTCCCGAGTAGCTGGGACTACAGGCATGTGCCACAATGCCCGGCTGATTTTTTCTATTTTTAGTTGTTTGGCTAATTTCTTTCTATTTATAGTAGAGACGGGGTCTCGCTCTTGCTCAGGCTGGCCTTGAACTCCTGAGTTCAAGCAATCCTCCCTTCTCGGCCTCCCAAAGTACTAGGATTACATGCATGAATCACCGTGCCTGGCCAAGACCTCAGTTTCTTAATCAACAAAATGGGGTGGGAGACAGAGGCTGGATCAGATGATCTCTGGGATCTACTCCTGTTCTTCAAATTCTGTGACTTGTTGGGTTACTGTGGGGATCCAGGCATTTGTGGGGAGGAGCACCCCAACCTTTCTTAAGTTGAGATCACAGAGCTCCTCAATGGGCCAGGTCCGCCCTGTGTCTGACCCAGGCGGCTGTACTCGTGGGCCGGTCCACCCTGTGTCTGACCCAGGCGGCTGTACTCGTGGGCCGGGTCCACCCTGTGTCTGACCCAGGAGGCTGTACTCGTGGGCCGGGTCCACCCTGTGTGTGACCCAGGAGGCTGTACTCGTGGGCCGGGTCCGCCCTGTATCTGACCCAGGCGGCTGTACTCGTGGGCCGGGTCTGCTCTGTGTGTGACCCAGGAGGCTGTACTCGTGGGCCGGGTCCACCCTGTGTCTGACCCAGAAGGCTATACTTCTGGGCCAGGTCCGCTCTGTGTCTGACCCAGGTGGCTGTACTCGTGGGCCGGGTCTGCCCTGGGTCTGACCCAGGAGGCTGTACTCGTGGGCCGGGTCCGCTCTGTGTGTGAACCAGGAGGCTGTACTCGTGGGCCGGGTCCGCCCTGCGTGTGACCCAGGAGGCTGTACTCGTGGGCCGGGTCCGCCCTGTGTGTGACCCAGGAGGCTGTACTCGTGGGCCGGGTCCGCCCTGTGTCTGACCCAGGAGGCTGTACTCGTGGGCCGGGTCCGCTCTGTGTGTGAACCAGGAGGCTGTACTCGTGGGCCGGGTCCGCCCTGCGTGTGACCCAGGAGGCTGTACTCGTGGGCCGGGTCCGCCCTGTGTGTGACCCAGGAGGCTGTACTCGTGGGCCGGGTCCGCCCTGTGTGTGACCCAGGAGGCTGTACTCGTGGGCCGGGTCCGCCCTGTGTGTGACCCAGGAGGCTGTACTCGTGGGCCGGGTCCGCTCTGTGTGTGACCCAGGAGGCTGTACTCGTGGGCCAGGTCCGCCCTGCGTGTGACCCAGGAGGCTGTACTCGTGGGCCGGGTCCGCTCTGTGTGTGACCCAGGAGGCTGTACTCGTGGGCCGGGTCCACCTGTGTCTGACCCAGGAGGCTGTACTCGTGGGCCGGGTCCGCTGTGTGTGACCCAGGTGGCTGTACTCGTGGGCCGGGTCCACCCTGTATCTGACCCAGGAGGCTGTACTCGTGGGCCGGGTCCGCTCTGTGTGTGACCCAGGAGGCTGTACTCGTGGGCTGGGTCTGCCCTGTGTCTGACCCAGGCGGCTGTACTCGTGGGCCGGGTCCACCTGTGTCTGACCCAGGCGGCTGTACTCGTGGGCTGGGTCCACCTGTGTCTGACCCAGGCGGCTGTGTCTACAGGCCAGGTGGGTGGTGCACACGACCTGCATGGCTGTCCTTGCTCTTTGCTTCTGTGTGCTCCACCGTACCCACTCAGGAGCCATCTCTTCACACTACCCACGTGTAGACCACAGCACAAGCAGCCTTGCAAAGAGAGAATGTCCTCACACTGGCTATGACATAACATAAACACCCACGTATTCTGTCCTGGGTGCAGAATCCCGGCAGGCAGACTGGAAATTTGAACAGGAACAACTGTTCAGTGATCTCCAAACACGCTTCGTCCAAACAGCCTCCCAACATGGTGCTGCGTTTACACCCACCATGTGGGAAACCTGAACTTCCCTGCCTGAATCCAGGGCTACATACAGACCTCCTGGGAGAGCCTCTGCTCGTCAACTCAGGGCTGGGACTCACGGCAACGGAACAACAAAAGGCTCCAGGTTCCAGCTGTCTAGTCAGGCTGGTCAGACGGAACGTGGGCTTGCACTCAGCAGGGAGCCCCGACCTCCCATGCAGCCAAGAAAAGACTTACAAACAAACAAGGTGCTGGAGTCCGGGAGAGACCAGCGAGTGCAGCGCGGAGCAGCACGAGTTAGTAAGACTCAGGGGACACACGTCCCAATTGCTGCCGCCCGGACCGGTCAGATCCGCATCTCTACAGCTTCTGGAGGCCGCCCTTAAACCCATCTCTGGCAACGGCATCCGCCCTCTTTTAAAGATCTTCATGGTGGAGGTCTTGACACCTTTCTCATCTAACCACTGTTGCCTGGGACATTCTTCTTCAAATCTACTTTAGTTTTTCACTTCTGTATTTTATCACGACCACCTCTGTTTTAAAGCCACCTCCTCCGCCTGAGATAAGACTTCAAATCTCTGGTTACACCTTGTGTCTCCCAGGGGGTCTGCCCCCACATATCCCTACTCAATGCCCTGCAAACCTCCACTGTCCTTTCACGAGGACCCTGCCACGGGGAGACGGGCATCACTGTGCCAGCAGTCGGGAGACCCTGACGCTGGTCCTCTGGGATCACTGACTCACCCGGAGTCTGGGGTTTGTCATCTGGGAAGGGAAGCGGGCCAGTTCCATCTTCCTCCTCCAGCACCCGACCCTTCAGGCACTCGTGCTTCCTGAGAGGCACAGGGGTTTGGTGCCACAAACACCTAGGGGACTGGGCCGCTGCCGCTGCACTTCAGACCCCCTCCGACCCCGTGGTCTCCCCACCGTCTTGGAAGATGTCGGGGATGAGCTCGTGGTGAGCGAGAGGCTCAGCCTTCCTGCTCTGCGGACTTTCGGGATTTCAGGTGACGCTGATACAGAGGGAAGGAAGTTATGAAGCCATGAGCTAGGCGGTAGCTGGCAAAGGCTGCCAAAGACGCTGCTCTGATAACAATCGTTCATTCTCCACCTGTGACTGGTGGGAATGAAACTCCGAGGAGTGAGTTGCTTTTGCTCCCAGTCTCCACCTGTAGCACTTTCATTCTTCATTACGATCTCGGGAGATCAAACTCTGATACATATTTTGTTAATGGTCACATTTATTATTAACTTACCTTTTCATGGGTTCATATCTGATCTTTCCAAGACATAGGACAAGATGCAAAGATAATCTTTGCACCCACCATGGGACACGGCCTACACCTTTGCGTTTGCTGACTGGTGTGATAAAACACTTGCCGAAATTTGGAATGAATTATTAATGAGTTGGGCCACAGGAAAATATTTTCCTGAGACTTCTTCAATACAACGGTAACCCCGTCCTTAAATACGCTTGAAAGGCTGACTTTTGACATTGTTTTATTACCTCTGTAGATGGCTTAGGCCCACTGACATGTAAGATATTGCCTTCCTGGTCACAGGGCTGTACTGTTTATGGACAACAGGGGACAGACTGTGGGATTAAGCACAGCATGTAGGAAACACAGATAACATCTGTGAGCCCTTATAACACGTGAGCTAGCACGGCTGCACCAGGCTCAGAGGGGTGCGGTGACCCTGCCCCGTGAGCTACAGCTTCAGGTGGGCGGGGCCCTACCTGTGCTGGAATACGCTGTGCTCCTACCACCGCCACCTGCCCCTTCCTGCGGGTCAAGGTGCCTGCCGTGGGCCTCGGCATGGCCCGGAAGCAGGCTGGGTGGAGGAGGGGCGCTTACCTTCGCACTTGAGCAGGAAGAAGTCCGCGTTGTGGCTGAAGGAGGCGCTGAAGTAGGTGCAGTTCTCCACCAGGTCGCAGGACAGGCACTGCCTGTTGAAGCTGCCCACCGTGCTGGCGCTGGAAGAGCAAAGCAGCAGTCAAGGTCCCCGTCTCCCCTGGGTGTCCCGGCCCACCGCTTCCTCCTACGGAGGCGGCCTGGGAGCCCTGCTGCCTTTCTCCTGGCCTTCGCCCCCAGCCTCCCCGCTGGGACCCCTGGGAGCTCCTAGCTCATTTCAGCTTCCCAGGGAAGCCCTCCCTGACTGCGGGTCCGCCACCCTGGAGAACTCTCAGCGCCATTGTCCCCGGGACCGTGACACGTGGTCACCTGTGCTGCTCCACCCAGGCTGGCGTGAGGAGGGTGCAGGTGTGAGGTGTTACGACCTGGTAATTTGCACCCAGGTATCCTGTCTGTCTGGGCGCGTGATTAGCCGTCTGAGAACAGCAGGGAGGGTTTATGCATCTTTAATCCCCCGAGTGCCAAACACTGGCATGCGCGGCGCCAGCTGAGCCGAGCCCCGGCTGTTCTCAAAGCCGGTGCTCCTGAGAGAGGGAGATGCCGAGGACGCTGCTTCTCAATGGAGCCAGACCGTGCAAGCCGACTCGAGGATGTCACCTGGGACCCCTCTCATCAAGTGTAATCTCAGGTCAGGAAGGCCTAAAATGTGGCTCCCCAAATGGAAAGGTGCTGGGTGCCCAATACACCTGGAGCTTCTTATCTGAACATTCCGCTCGGGAAGGGCCCGTTCTAACCGCAGGCTCCATTCTGAAGCCCATCTTTGCAAGAGCGAACATCTTTCACTGGGGAGAGAAGACAACCTTCTCATCCTCTAAGTCAGAGAGGAGGCTCCACGGGCTGCCTTGGCACTTGCTGTTAACCTGGTGACATGACCGATTTCAATGCTCCTAGCAGGCACGCAGTGGCAGAAGCCTACGGAGGAGCAAACTGCGTGTCCCCTCCCCCCCGGGCCCCTCGCACCCTCAGCACAGAGGCTGGCGGACGGGAGGGAGGCCTGCCGGGCACCAGGGGGGTTCCACCGTCCCAGTAGTGCTGGTCCAGTGCAGACTGCCAGCCACTGGCCTCTAGCCTGCGGTCTACGCTGGGTGACACCCTCTTTGGCCCGGGTGCGTTTGGGCAGCAAGCAGCACAGCCCTCTGCTAGTCCGGGAGCCTCCGAGGTGGTAGCAGACGGCCCCTCCCTCTGCCCTGGGCTGACCCCCCTTCAGAAACGAGAGCCTTCTGCAGTGAGCAGAGTAACTGGCAGTGACCAGGTGGAATGCTGAACAGGGCAGACCCCAGGGAAGGCCGAGTCCCTCTCCAGGATTCGGAGCGGGCCAGCCCAGCCCTGCCTCCTCTGGGTGACGGAGCTCGTGCCGGCTCACAGCGAGCGGGCAGGGCGACAGGCCGACTCCACACTGTCCACGGCGGGTCTCCAAACCCGACTGTGCCCTTAGCAGAACCCAGGTGAGCGCAGTTCCTCCAAGCGGAGGTTTGAGGCAGGGGAAAGGAAGAGGCTGCTCCATCGCTTATCGAAAGGGAGAGTCAGTGTGGGGGAAACTCAATGCAATACAGGCAGAAAAACAAAATGAAGCTTCAAAGTGGGGGGCCCTCCTGGGAGAGGCCTGAGCACAGGGGGAGGGAGCCGGGCTACCTGTAGAGCTGTCGTCGCCGGGGCAGGTCCTCCGTGCTCAGGAAGTAGCTGTAAGAGGTTAAGGAGCAGAGGTCAGTTCGCTGGTGGGGAGTCTGCCCCCACGCCCTGCACTCCCCTACAGCCACGCCCCGGGGCTCACGGGAGCAATGCTGTTCGGGTCCAGCCACACCTGCGGCCAGAGCAAGGGACGGCCAGGCACCTACGGGTCACCCTATGAGCTGAGGGACACACCAACACAGACACTGTGAGCTCTCGGCACCTGCGGCACCAGCCTTCACCCCAGAGCCGCAGGGCACTGCTGTAGGGGTGAGGGTGGCCGTGACATCCCCTGGATTTGGATCTTGGCAACATCATTAACCTTCTGGAGGGCGAGGCCCAGGACACCTACTGTGAGACCAGGCATACCCGGTGCAGACACGGGGCTCCCATCACAGAGCAAGTGGCCAGACAGCCCTGCGGGCGGCGCACGGCCCGATGCCCGTTGTCTGCGATGACTCCACCTGCCACCGGCTGAGTCACCTGGAGTGAATTCCTTACCTTCTTTTCGTCTCAGTTTATTTATTTTTAAACCTGGGAAAGCAACGAGCCTACCTCGGGAGCTGCCGCACTAAATGAGAGGATGCCCGCAAGGCACCTGGCGCAGGGCCTGGAGCGAGCGAGGCCCCAACAACGGTCGGTACCGCCACTACCGCCGCCATGACACTACCGCGCCTGGCACCTGCCTGACCTTGCCGCCAGCACTGTGCAGCTCTGGCTGCTGAGACGGAACACAGGACACACTTCCCACAAGACTAGGAGCGCGTGGCGCTGGCCAGGAAGCACAGATGAAGCCCTGGGCTGCCGCGCTCCGTGAGAATAATCCGACAGTGACAAGCGTGCCTCCCTCCACCCGGCCAGGAAGACGGGCCCAGGCCCTGGTCTACTCACATCTTATTCCGCTTCTCGTCGTAGGACAGGATCTTGGTCACGTCCCAGTCCCCTGAGGTGATGGACTGGATGTTGTCATTGCTGCTGTTGGGCTGAAACACACAGACGTGGCGACAGGAGTGAGGCGCTGCCCCAGTTTGGTGGCAACAAGGGGCCGCCATTCTCTGCGTGGGATGTGCCACCCCCACCCTCCCGGCCTGGTCCTCTGCCAAGGGGCCTGGCCCAAGTTCAGCGTCTTCTGCGGAGCTCTGCTGACCACCCCAGGCCCCCAGCCCTCCCCCTGAGCGTCAGCGACGGGGAATAGCGCGTGGTCCTCTTCCGTGGTGCCTGTCACCTGGTACCTGGATCGCCAGTTCTGCCACCATGAAGCGTCTTACCAGAGGAATCAGGCTTCATGGGGCTGCCACTGTGCCCTTCACACCCCAGATCTGATCACTGAGTCATTACTGGGGGGACTGGGGAGGGGGAAGGAAAGAGAGAAATGCGGGGAAGTGGATGGAATCAGGCAAAGAAATAGAGAAAAAGTGAAGGAGGGAGGCAGGGGGACACTGGGCTCTTCTGTCACCCTCTGCTGTCGTTGGCAGGGACGGTTGGAACTGTACTATCCAGGACTGCACGCTGGCGCACGCTGTCTCTCCCCACGTGCCTTCCAGGGCTAAGGGGAGTGGTTATGACAATAAATCACAACAGAGAGGGAGCAAGGGCTGCCTCGACAGGAGCCACGTTCGTTTCCCGCGGTGACCGGAGACTGGATGAGGAGGTGCCAAAGCACCGAAGTGCGGCCCTGGCAGCTGATCTGGACGGCAGGCGCCAGGTGAAGCAGGTGCGGAGCTGATGGGGACTAAATTAAGTGAAGGGCCCGAGGCACGAGGCCCGAGGCCCACACCCTGGGACAGCAGACAGAGTCCTGGGGGAGGGCAGAGCCGAGAGGAGCAGAGCGGGAGGGGCCGGGGACCGAGGGCTCCTGGGATGGATAGGGGGACGGACACCTGCCTCCCGGGCAGAGGGCAGACACCTGCCTGCTGCCGGATGTGCTGGTCCTCTCGGTGGTTTGCAGCAAGCGCTGACCACCTGGGTGAAGGCAGGGACTGGGGGCCCTGTGAAAACACCTAAAATTTTAAAATCTTGATTGAATTGGTCCAAAATGAGCAAACAGAGGAATCTGGGCCCTGGAGTGAAGACCATAGGCATCAATACTCGGAGGCAGTTTTCGGACCTTCTGTGAGCCACGCAGCTGAGTGGACGGACGGGGGAGTGTCTGACCTGAGGCTCTGCAGAGACGCCATCGCCACTGTGGGGGTCACGGCAGCCCCTGCCCTTGTTCCACGAAGCTGCTCTCAGGTGGGGTAGTCTTGGAATTTTTCCTTTGAAGTTGCCTTTTGGGCCAGATCATAAACCCAAGCCTTCTAGCTTTATATCCACAGAATATTTTTGATGAACCCTTTTCCTAATCAGATTTTATTCACCTACCCTGATCCCAAATGTCACAACTTCAGACGGCTTCAAAAACGGAATCTACACTGAGAGGATGGGGTTTGTGCTCGGCAGGGCCTGTCTTTGTCCGCACCCGTCTCTCTCAGGGCAGAGTTCCCCGCAAGTGCCACACCGTGGCAGCAGCCTCCCGCAGGGGTGGGGCCCCCCCGAGGTGGCCTCTGCAGGGATCGTGTCTGCCGGGGTGTGGACTGTTAGTTCTGAATATATACCAAGCTCTGAAGATCCCTGCTCGGTGACACCCCACTCCTAACCCCCCAGAACCCAGGGTCAGGTGAGCGATGTTCGGTAGCTGCTGCGTAGTAAAATAATACCTGCGTTGGGCTGGAAGTGGGGAAGGGGCAGCTTGGGAGCCAGACTCGTGAGGGACCCTGCGTGCAGGGGGCCCAGCCTTGAGGGTAGAGGGTGCATAAGGGAGACCCCCGCACCGCTAGCGGAAGGAGAGGGAAAGGGCAAAGGGCACAGGTGTTCACACAGTCCTCGGAATCCCGCGGTCCCTGCTGACACTGCCGGGAGAACCGTTCATATTCTCAAGCGTTAACACAAAGAGCAAAGCTCGACCCACCGCCCTGATCGGCACCTCCGTTCTCTCGCAAGTGTCACGCTCTGCCCAGCCTCGGGGACCTCACCTGCGAGACTCAGTATACCCGGGGGGACTCTGGGGTCCTTGAACGTGGCAAGTGTGCTCAGCCACCAGAGACCGCCGTCAACACGGCCACAGGGTTGCGGAAGGCAGCAGGATTTACCTGGGAGGAGGACACGGTGATGTGGTAGAATTTCCCTCGCCCTCCCTGGGGGATCGCTCTGACGAAGAAAAACTTCCGGCCGTCCTTGGAGAACACGGGCTCTTCGTTCTGAGGACAAAAGCGATGGATTAAACCATGGCTGAGGCTTCACTGAGTTCTGGAGAGGGTGGACCAGGGTAACACACAGCCCGAGCGAGACACAGTTCCTATGTCATTTCTAACGAGAGAGGATACTACAGCTGAAAGAATGAGTGCTCGGCGGGGCCTTTTCTTGCCTTGGGAATCGTGAGCCAAATGTTGAGTTTTTTAAAAGAAAAGGAATAAGGGAGAATGAAGGGGCCACAGCCTAAGCAAAGGCTGATAAAAAGGCGTCCCTGTCTACAAAGCACCAATAAAAAGAACTGTCGGGTGTGCGTGCCAAGCTCAGCAGAGAGAACAGGAACCCGACTCTCGAAAAGCACACGGGGGCCTCCCCTTGAACCGCTGCCCATCGAAAGCGGAGTGCATTGTAACAGTTCTCCGGTGGCATTCATTATATATCAGAAAGAACATAATTCTGAACACTCACAGACCCGACTTTGCCTAAAAATGAATTCTATTCTTCCAAGCCTGTCTTTTGTTCTTATTTAATAAAATCTGTCTCACACTGAATAGGCCCTCAAGAAGACAAGAAGAAAGGGGGTGGGGGGGGAACCAAGGACAAATCCTATATAATATTCTAAGTGTGGATGACAGGGAAAATAGCACTCCAGGGACCCCTCAACACCAGGCGTGCACCAGATGCCAACGCTGGCTTGGATCTGTTGCCGCTTTTCCCTGGAAACAAAGGCAGTTCCCAGTTCCTCTGGGGGAAGGGGTTCCGGGCTGGGTTTAAGTCCCAAGAGCAAGTGTGGCCAGCGGTGGCCACCGGGCCCCCAGCCCCGGACGCCAAGCAGCCCGTTCCTCAGCCTTCGCCGGCCCCAGGTCGGCCGTGGCTTCGCCGGGCAAGCGGGGTTTTGCTGCGGCAGAGTCTCAGCCTCTCTGGAGCTCAGGTTTGAAAGTCTCCACCTGCGAACACCAATTAGTTGGCCACGATATATATTTTCTGATTCAAGGAGCTCCACGCTGATGCAGGGTTGAGAATGAATGGTAAATAAACCCCAGCTGGCACAAGGAAAACTCATTTCCCTACAGTGAGCGAGCACATGCAAATACGATATGCCCAGAGAAATAAACTAACGTGTGATTAAAACGACGTTCAATCTTCATGAATATTTGCAGTAAAATGAAACCTTTAATCTGCAAATATTTATTTTTCCATTTAGAGTTGGAAGCATGGTATTTAGAAGCAGAGGGAATGGAAAGCCCAGTGGTTAATTTGGCTTTTTAAATGTGTTTCTATTTGCCAACCACTGCAGGATGGGTACGGCAACAGTCCCTCGGTTATCTGGGAGAAACGTTTGCCCTTTTGGCAAAGAAAAATACTTTAAATAAATATGATAAATAATTAATTCTGGCCAGAAGCATTGTTTTCATAAGGAGAATGCCTCAACCACGTGGACGCCATCTTCACCTCGTTCCACGGAAACGTTCCACGGAACACGGGGAGAGGCGCTAGGCCTGGGGTCTCTCTGAGAAGCAAAGCGTGTTTTCAGTGTATTTTAATACAATGACCGTTGACTGGGAGAACTGGGTCTCGTCCTGGTTCTGCCTCTCATTTGATTTTGGGGGGAAATGGTTCCAGTCTTTCTGGATGACAGAGTTTATCACACACAATGCCTGGCTTCGACAGCTCCGTGCTCAGGAGATCTGTGAGAGATTCTTTTTTTAAACCGACTCATCATTTCTCCAGATGTGACTACAGATGAAAGTGGCTGCATTTGAATCGAGCTACTCCCTCTTCTTTCTTGCCATTTTAATTGATGAAAAACTGTAATCGCAGTCACCGTAACCATCTATGGCAATTACCAGGCGATGTTCGGTACTAACCCTTACGTTAGTTACGTGGTCATAGAACTTTAGCTGTGATTTAATCCAAATAAAAATTCATTAAATGTCCTTGATATGAATATTTGCTATTAAGATTTTTTTTTTAGATTTTGGCACTTGAGTTTAAAACTAATCTCTGTTCTTTTTAAGACATTTAATTGATTTTTTTATTGATACATGTTAGATGTGCATATTTTCAGGGTACATATGATAAGCTGACACATTTATGCAATCAAGTCAGCATAACTGGGATATCCACCACTGTAAATATTTACCTTAACACTAGAAACGTTCGACTTATTCTATTTTAGCTACTTTGAAATGTACAACCGATTAATGTTAACCATCATCGCCCTACGATCCATCAAACACTAGGTCTTATTTCTTCCATCTAAGTGCATATTTGGACCCATTATGGTGAGAGATTCTCCATAAGCCGTTTGTTGCCTTTCTGCCGGTTCTTTCCATGGATCGGATATACTCAGCCTGTTCAATGTCCCAGCCCAAATTTTGAAATCACAAAACAAAACTTCTGATTGCAGAAGACAGCCAGAAATTGATCTGTAGAACTGACCCTTCAGCCAACACAGCAAGTTCTGGGTTCTGCATGGGACAGCTGGGTCTGGCGGCGGCCCCTGGGAACTGCGTCAGGACAGACCTGGGTGGCCGGGGCGGTGAGGGTGTGCGGGTGCGGTGGAAGGGTTGCTGTTTCCCACAACGTTCCCGGAGGAGAGGGGGCTGGGCAGGTCTCCCCCACACACATCCGCCTCTTCTGTCTCGTGGGGAGTCTCTGTGGGGTCCATGCCGAGGGTGCTGTCAAGGACCGGGCAGTGAAGAGAGGCAGCTGCACGGCTCAATGGCACTTCCACAAAGTTAGCTGGTCGTGAACCCTCTCCCGTCTGGCAGCGTAACCTGGAAGACTGGGTGGCCCACGCAGACCACTGTCCCTGAGCTCTGCGCGATTTCCAGATCCTGGTCTTCTCTGGGTCAGCTGCAGCAAGCTTCCACGACCCACTCGAGATGACGGGCAGAGGGCGCATGGCCTCAGTGTGTGTTCCCTGGCTTGTCCCCACGTTTCCCCACAGAGAAACGCTCCCAAGCTCTGCCCAAGACACAGCCTCTCTGGCAACAGACGGCAGATCCAGCCTTAAACGAGTTCCTCAGCTGCCTCCAGGGACTCGTGGTATCATCCTCAAGGACTCGGAGACACTACAGATCATTTCTGAAAAACAGGGTCTGTGAATTCCTTTATGGAAAAAGGAATGTAAGGAGAAACTGCTGGAAACTGGATTTGCCTACAGACTTGGAGCCCTGACCTTGGCGGTCACAGACTCACAGTCTGCAGGGTGCTCTGACACACCGTCCCCTTGCTGCGGCTGCGGGTGGGGCTCACCCAACCAGGGACGGGCGCGGCTGCGCGGGCAAGCCGGCTGCCCGAGGGACGCGCCATCTCACAGGAAGACACGTGTGTCACAGAATGTCACCTTTCAAACTCAAGACAGCAGTGCAGGCTTTTAAGTAGCAATTTAAACAATTTAGCTGTTTACTTTGTAAATGCTTTAAAGTTCACATTTTAAAACTGTGAGAATTATTTTAGTTCATGCTACTTTTTTAAGCATTGACTTGGTTTTGCTTGGAAACATTGGTTTCGCACATCCCGCTCAGGCTGTCTGCCCTGTGCTGGGCTGGCGTTCTCGTGGGCGGGGGGCGGTGGATACACAGGCAAGATATATAGAAAAATCCCGGGGGTGGTCTCGGCGCTGCAGCCACCCTGCCGAGCTGAGGAAGCAGCACCAGCAGAGGAGGACTGGTCCCTGGCCTGCCACAGGCCTGCAAGTCCATGCACTCTGTGGTCCATCCCCAGGGCAAAGCCGCAGGTGACCAGCCAGGGGCCCCCCTCACCCCCACCATGGGCGTGCTGCTGGACAGGGAGGCAGAGTGGGCACCTCTGCCCTGGCGTTCCGGAGGCCTCCCTGCCCCCTAGTACGGAAACAGAGTTGGGCTGCTCTGACAGGCACGTCCTCACCTCCTTCTGGTCATGTGCCAAGTCGGCCCTCGGCTAAGGTCACCTGTGCTGCCGTTCCCGGCTCCCACTGCCACCAGCGTCCAGACTCTCAGTCGCCGTTTCTGAACATCTCTGAGGGCCCCTCCTTCCCACAGCTGGGCACGTACGTGCACAGCCCCTCTCCCCGGCTGCACGGCAAACAGCGCCACTGGGAGCTGATGCTCTGGCTCAGGCGTCCTCAAACTATGGCCCGCGGCCACATGCGGGTGTTTTTGTCCGTTTGTTTTTTTCACTTCAAAGTAAGATATATGCGGCGTGCATAGGAATTTGTTGATAGTTTTTTTTTTAAACTGTAGTCCGGTCCTCCAACGGTCTGAGGGACAGTGAGCTGGCCCGCTGTTTAACAAGTTTGAGGACCCCTGCTCTAGCTGATTCGTTTCTTGAAGATTTATCAAGGTAAAATTCCCATAACATAAAACATTTTAATACAAGTGAACAATTCAGTGGCGTTTAATGCCTTCACTATGTGGTGCAACTGCCAGCTCTATGTAGTTCCAGATCGTTCCATTGCTCCCAAATAAAACCCTATATCTGTTAAGCTGTCGTGTCCCATTTTCCTCTCCCAGCCCCTAGAAACCACCAAGGTGCTTTCCGTTTGTATGGATTTATTTATTCTGGAAATTTCATATGAATGGAACTGTGTAATAGCTGGCTTTTGTGTCTGCTCTTAGCAGCACTAGTCACGGCAGCCAAGTGGCGGCAGCAACCCGAACGTCCGTCGCCATGTGAACGGACTGTGGAATGTATGCATAATGGAATATCACTCGGCCACAAATAGGAGTGACGTTCTGACACATGACAACGTGTGCCCAGTGACAGTCAAAGACTCACTTTTTGAAAGGCACAAAGTCTAGCGTCTTGCCTTGAACAATCCATAAATACTGGTTGAACACACGACTATGTAGATGATGAAGCGTTAAGAATGGTCCTTTCGTTCCAATCTTTCTGACATCTTGTCTTATGTAAGATAAACATCATGTTCTTTTTGATATTTGCGCTTATATGTTTGAACCAGGTGGCATTCGAGAACTTTCCAGCATGCTGATATGTTAGGGTTCCCAACTCCTCTGTCATT